ATCTCCAAACTAAGAAGGTAGAGCCTCAAGTAAAAAAGTGGATTGTGCTCAAAGGGATCTCGCGTGTTGCAGAAGGTTTCATATTGCTACCTGCCCTTACCAAGCCAAGTCAATTGTAAGATGTTCCTGAAAATCAGACTATTTCAGCCTTGCATGCTCATATGTACAGAACCATATATTGTAGCAACATAAAATGCAAAGAAGTGCATTCCTTGTTTAATTTTGAGTTAAATAGTGTATAGTTGCACGCGTTTTAAGCCTCCATTTAACATACTGGGCTCCATTAAAATAACACGGCTAGGCCTTTGCGCGCAATCCGCCGTGGATCGTTGTGCAGTTCTCCTAGAAACTGTCGCATGTTTGAAACTGAAATACTTGAAGCACATTTTTGGTGACAAAACACCCCCAACCAATGCTCCAGTGGCCACCAACAAAAGTGGCGTGGCGGCACAAAATGCCACCTTTGTATCATCAGAAACTTGGAGGAGGGGGTGGGGGGGGGGGGGTGTCGCGTCGGCTCCCTATATTGGGTCGTTGGGTTAAAGTGCTGTTCATTAAGAGATCGCGACTTGATGTGAAGATATTCACAAATTTCAACGCAATTTTCTCGCTTTTGGCAGCTGTTGCATGACAGATTTTTGAATTAGCATCATGCCCGTTTTAATGACTGCTGACTGAGGTAACCTGCCCTGACATGAGCTGATTGCATTGGATCGCTTTGGTCACCTAAGCACTCCTCCGGCTATTCCACTGGCTCTGGCTATTCCACTAAGCACTCGTCTGGCTCCGGCACCGGAGTGATTTAATCATCTTCAAAGCCCACCTGAAACTTGGGGTCTTATTTACTCTTCAAGGCCCTTTTGGCCACTGGGAGGCCCATCGCTCAAGCGGCCTTCTGTTTTTGGCGCCTACCCTGTGGAGAATTCTTAGCCCTCAACAGTTGCACAAGCCGCACGACGCGAAATGCTATCATTTTTTTACAAACAAGGTGCGCCGATGCCCTCGCAGGCACGCCAACTCTGAACACATGCTTGGAGCCACGTTTGCCCGGAATTATTGGAATTATCGTTTATGTCTCTTTCACCAAAAGTGTTATAAGCTATGGTTTAATCTTTTAGTAAACTACTTGTTTCATATCCTAGACACTCATACCAATATCAACTTGATTGCGCTTAAGCAACATTTTCAGCTATCATTTCAAAACTGATGGAGCATGAGGACCAGGATGCGGACAGGCAGCCCGACATTGCAGGGGGCCAGCTCAAGGATGGTGGTGGTTGGGGGCGGGCATGACCCCGAAAAATGATAAGTTCCACCTATGCAGAGCAACTTACGAGAAGCTTGGAGATTACGTTTTGCGACGAAAGTGATGTGTACGCGTTATGGCGTTTGCAGTGTTGGAAGATTTATACTGAAAGGATGCACGCATAGTGAGCCTCACTTGCTTTTTCTTAGGTGTTGCAAGTTGTGCACTCAATGTTAGGGCATTCAGCGCCCAACGCCCTCCGTGAGAGTGTATGCTTTTCCTCGCCTTAACAGAACGCGTGTACGCGCGTTCTACAACCAGGGATCTTCCTCACGTTGTGTGTGCTCGGGGGTGGGTGGCAGTCCTCCACACTCCGGACGTTGTGGGGCCTTGTCACCCGCTTCCCCTACATTGGTGGGGCCCCCGCTCAGAGGCACGTCACTGTTCATGAAATTCGCTATCTTGCGAATTGCTTGCGTCGGAATGTAAGCAGCTCTCATTTCTTGGCGAAAATAATAGGCATTCGATCAAAGCTATTGTCCACTACTACAGTCCGAAATACTTGCGTTCAGACCTTTTTAAAATAAAATGGCATATTTTAGGTTCCCAGTGGTCTATCGCAGTAACTACTGGTTATACGGCAACAAAACGTTCTCATTTTTACATGTGATGATATCAATGACTTATTTGTGCTGGCATCTTGGAGTGGTTAAACCATTTGTGAGCTGTGTCTGCAGAAGATGCGCATGACCATGACCGCGGCTTTTGTTGGGAACGTTACTTCGGGGAGATGAAAACATTTCCAAGACAAACAAAACATGCCGCTACCAATGAGCATCTGTGGCATTGATCTGCCGGCTTCTGCGACATCTTAGCTTCCGGACTCGCACACAGTTGCTCGCAAGATATTCGCAGCTGTTGGATTTACCTTGCTCATGGCGTTCGTCAAGTTATTTCCATCCCTGTTACAAGTCTCGTTTTCCACGGACTGAAGTGTACGCACTTCGCAATCGCCTTTGTGTGCCTTGTTTCATCGCGAAAATCCACTGAACCATACCGGTCGAACATTTTTTTCACATCGATCTCAAGGAAATGAAACAGTTTCAGCGCCCAGACCATGGTGACTATGTCCTTTCTGTTCATAGCAATGAATACAGTATTCAGAACGTCCGATTAATATCGCAGATATGTGCTAAGATGTCTTTTAAACGGAATGTTTCACATTTAAAGATATTGCAGAAAGCGTCGGGTATGACGAAACAAGCTCACTTACAACTATTGGTATGTTTTTAGCAGAAAAGACTACTCTCGACAGCATAATTTCCGTGTTTAGTAAATATCCTCCTCAATGCGCCATTGTCTACTTACGTCACTGCACCTTGCACAACATGGAGTGAGAGCTGATTGACAGCCGCTACGTCTGGAAATCGTGCTCACGAATGTCAGATATCAACGACTCGACCATCAGATTTCTCCCGGCCTTGATCGCTGCATGGCTTATGGAATGACAGGAGCTCAATGACGTTATTATTACGTAAGTTGTTCAGTGCATTAGCGAGGAGTATTAGTCACACATATAAGACAGTAGTATTAGCCTTACTCCTCGGATAAGCCAGGAGAATTGAGATATAGTTAGATTATATATTTACTATACACCTAATTACGTCTCCATTCTCCTGTTTTTTCCCGAGAAATAAGGCTAATACTAGTGTATTATCTGCGTCAGTATCATGTCATGAATACCAAGGTGACCTAGAAATACTCCCCTAGCAGGAATTTGGTTCTTAGAAGGGCGGATTGTGAACTGCACTGGTTGTCAAGCCGTCATGATCATCGGTCGTCAAGATGGCCATTTCAATTCAAGACCCCATACAGATGTGGTGCGCTCCCTTTAATGTAAGACAGGCTGAGAATGACGCTTATCAGATTGTAGCGGCCGATGCTCGTAACCATTCTAATGTTTCAAAATGGCTCATAAATTGTTGTTTTGCAGCAATTTAAAATACTTCAATAGCTTTTCTTATCGGGGAACAAGTAAACATGCAGGAATTTTGTTTTATTTTTTTTCGTTAATGATGAGGGAAGAAATGTGTGAATGACACAACTTTTTTCTGAGCACGTGCAGCATTGGATTCGTATTTTTTTAACCGAAAATAGTTAAAATGCGGCAGTGATGATATCCGGGTGAGAATTGCGTAGTGGGTATAAGTAGCCACTCAGAACTGTGGTCAGAGAAGCCCAGAGCAACAGCTCATCTACCGGAGAGTCGCATGTTCTTGCGACTTGTGACGATTATACAGTGATATACCTTCACGATAAAATTACTGCCTTCGTCCCCTAGACCACCGAGTAGGATTGCTTGGCATATGGAGTAAGGCCGAGCATTTTGACCTTTTGTTATTTTGCTTTGGTCAGCTGAGGTGAAATATGTTTCTCGGCTCAGATGATGAAATATGTTTCTCAGCTCAGCGAAATGTTTTGTGGATTGCCTTTTTAACCGATGGCATCTGAACATTACGCTTGAGATATTGAAACATTACCGCGAAGTTCGCAGTGGGCTGACAGTCTATACCAAAAGAAAAACGTTTATTTGTATCAAACTCCGCTGCTACGCATCAAATGGTTCACTTCCTTCTCTAATCGTCCGCCGTCAATTAGCCGTACATAGTCGACCCGAGGCCGGCCGACCTGGTGCCATCACTTTCGGATGGGTCACGACCGGGCGGCGCGATCCGCATCAGCCTGGGCGGGCCGGTTATGTACAGCTCCCAGAATCATCTCCGTTCAAGCCCAGGAGTCTGGCAACTCGAATCAAGCCATATGTTCCTCCGGAAGTTAAAACAAACATTGCTAGACGGAGCGCGATTGAAAATTTCGTTATAAGCCATTATCAGCGCCCATACAGCCAAATATTGACTCAGGTAGTTTCGGGAAGCTCAAGGCGGTCATACTCTTTGTGATTGGTCTTGCCTTCTCGTCCCATCCATCGGACGATGTCATGTACGTTTTCAGGCGTTAGTAATGACGTGCATTACAGCATTTCTGTAAGACGCGGTGATGATCGTTTCCATTTGTAAGCGATTTGTAAGGTGAGCAACTTGCTACCCCATGAAATGCTACCGTGTATGCTACCGTAGGTACTCACGAGATGTGAGAGAACTCGCTGAAGCACAAGGCCGCTGTTGGTTGTAGGCGAGGACCCTGTGGCATGGAGTGAGTGCTGATAAGAGTGAGATGCTGGTAAATAAAAGTTCGAGACTTACAAGTTATTTTTGCCTGCCTCGCGAAGACTTACGTCAGTCCCGGGTTATTCAAAATTGACTTTCTGGATCTCGTTCTTTTTCAACCTTGTCAGCCTTGAAAGAGTCAAACATAAATTTATTGATTTTGCTTTAATTCCCAGAATTGTAGTTTCACAGACATGTGGGAAAAACAAATTTAGCCACTTATACTAATGAAACACACAAGCTTTCGAACAGATAGCAAATGTGCGCTATTGACAGGTAAGAGCGCTGCATGCACATTAAGGGATGCAGTGATGCCAAATTCTATAAAAAGCATGTGTTGGTTGTCCGCTTTCTTCATTTTTACTGTGTAACGTAGCATGGATGGAAATAATATCGCTGCTAAAACTCGAAGAGCGAGCTGTCTCAACGCCAGTGCCTGCGACGCCCGCTGTCAACCGAGTTCGGTGCAAAGGTCATGCCATTCCGGCAAAAGTCATGGCCCTGCCGACGGGGGCCGTCACAGTGACGTCACTGTCTGACCCCTCTGCCATTCCTCATCCACGGCTCGGCATATAAGGCGGCCAGAGGACGGCTGCGCACAAACTCCTCATTTCTGCCGCTTCGCCATGCGCCTGCTGCCCCTACTCCTTGTGCTCTGCGTGCTGGTCCTCGCGGCTGAAGGTGAGTTGGTGGGAAGGTGAGAGAAGGTGAGAGCCCATTTATTGAGCACTTAGGCTGCCTAAGCAGGGAATGCGTTACGAATGACAATAGGCCCTCAGAAAACTTGTGGGGCGCTACCCTGTAGCAATTTTAGACAGGCAAAACATTTGGACAAATGACTTCATTTCGCTACATGCTACATACTAAGTGCTACATAGCTTAGTTTCGATGATTCTGAACCAGCGGAGTGAAACGTACTGGGTCCAAAGACAATGTGACGAAAATGTTCAACAAACGAAGCTAGGGATACGAAAATTTCTCGTAATGCAAGAAGCACCACAGAGAAGGCCGCGTTTCCAGTCCGAGAAAAATCACGGTTTCCGCAATAGAGCGTTTGTTTCCGAAGCATTTTGCAAATTTGCTGGTGGTAGCCTCGGCATCCCTACTAGTCGAAAACTGTGCGAGACGTAAACTTTTTTCAGGCGCATCTGTTCAAGCAGGTCATGGCCGTGATGGTACTCATCGGAAAAGTTGAGGAACCAACCCTTACTCAACCGCAACTGCATCCCCTACTCCCCTCCCCTCCCCTCAACGCCCCGCCCACCTCCGCTCTGTGGTAGGACCCAGGAGTTTCATTAATGCCATCAAGTATTCGAATTATCATATTATAGCGTAACATTATGCTCATGTTATCAATGGCATCACACTATCATGGGCGAAAGTCATGTGTTTTTCGGCTGTTTCTAGGGTGATGTTCCCGAACGCATGCCGGGAAGTTGTCATGGATTTTGTCAATTTTCCAGCACCCTGAGATTGTCCCAAGCAGAAGAGGTCATCTGTAGTTTGAGTCGTCCCACGTCAAGTAGGTCGCATGTTGGCGTTAGCGCACAGACGGATTTGTAGAAATTCCCTGAAGATCTCATGTCAAGCTGACAGCACGTTAGCCGACACCCACGGACACTGCTAAGCTGGCTTCGTTTTTCAGGATGGAAGTGTTACCGTCCGCGGCAGACGTGCGGTATCTTCCGTAACAAGGTGTGCCTACTATGCAGATATGGAAAGCTCTGCTGCCGCGGTGGCGATACTTTCAGTAAGTAGAGACTGGATTTAACTAATGGCGAGGCTTTGGAAACACACATGGCTGAATTTTGGAACTGAGATGGCTTGTACAAACCTTAATGGCAAGGGTTTGACGTTGCTGGAAGCGGCAAAGTTATTACTTTTGCTGTTGATATTGGAGTCTTACTGGGCGTGTGCTGCTAGATTTTACCATTGCAATGCCCGGGCAATGAGGAGAGGATATGTGTTAACACACACCCGTGATCAGCTGACAACCACGTCTGATATGCAGACGATATTGTGATGGCTCTTTTATTCCAGGAGAGTGCCAGAGAAAGTGCAAATATGGACATTGCTATCCGTGCCATCTCGGCTTCTGCTGTCGCCCCCCTTTCTGTCAAGGCAAGAACTGCAAACAGCGCTAATCGCTCTGCTGAAGAAAGCATACCTGCCATCAGCAAGAGGACATCTCCAGCGTTCGGAGCGTCAAAGAGGGCACACACCGGCGCACAGTTCGAATCCATCTGTTGGCTGATGCTCAGTATTTTAACAATGCGGGATACGAGAGGCCGTTGACTTCCAAGCGGTGCCAACTGAGACATTGCCTTTCACCAAAAATACCGGCGGGCATCTCGACGGCTGAGTGTACCGTGCAAAGACGTAAAACCGCAACCACAGTCGCATTTTGAAAAAAAGACTAGCGTCATGCACGACTGTCATTCTTGTGACCTAGCAGCTTATATCACCCAGTGTAGATGGCTAACGACGCGCGCGCAGCGACCCGAAAGAACATGCTAGCAATCATGGTCTCGCGGGCTTGGAGGGCGTTAATCAAACGTGCACGTTAATTGTTAATTAATTGAGCGCCGTTAATTGAACACATTGGCCTGTCTGTGCACTGCTGCCGCTGAGGACGATAGCCGTCGAATGCCACCTGGCTCAGACAAATAAAGGAAATGGGTAACTCTCATTTCTATTGTTTCAAGGAAATTTCATCGAGCATTCGTAGGATGGTTTTCTACCAGCCATTGCCGAGCATAAATTGGTGCGAAGAACCTGAGCCCACCACCCCGGCGCGGTAATTTCAGTCCAAGTAACAACTTTTGCGGATGTATTTTAACGTGCCGCGCAGTGTCATGACACGGCTGCACCGGTGTCAGTCCGGGTGTCTCGGCCAGGAGCCGATCAACAGTCAACAGACGAGCCGCACGAGGGCGCTGTCAGGGGCACCGCATCAACACCCCAGCGTGCTCTCAACGCGACACTTTGGTTGGGTGCCCGTTGCCCCACTAACTAAGCTAGACAGGAGACTGCATCGTTCGTCCATCGTGCTTCCAGAGCATCGCACGTGATTGTGGAGAAGAACATAATTACGATACAATGCAACGCAATAGAAAGCCGCGAAGAGGTTTTTTCTTCGTAGTTGCTTGATCGATCTGCTCAGCACATTTGCTTTATTCTCCATTCCTTAACAAGCCATGCTATATCCGGAGACGTTACGTCAGGTGACCTCAACCCCACGTGGCAGAGACTTAGCTTTAACTGGCATTGACTTTTGTCCTTACTCAACATCACAATTCTAAAGCCTGTCCATACGTTTGGAGCCGATTTAAATGTTTTACAGCCACTATTGCGGCAGCCAGGGAGCCCTGAATGCCATCCAAGATTGAGGGAAATGCCAGCGTGTTTTGCGCGGCCTGCGACGCCTCCGTCACCTGACAGATGTCAGAGGTCGATGGCAGAATTGACCGTGGGCTTATCGATCGCCGTTGGACAAGACTAGAGCCGGATGTACCAGGCTACTTTTACTTTCTCCAAGCGGCTGCGTGTGAGGGAATACACCAGGAGGTGCCGTTATTAAGACCTCCGGGTACTTTTGGAGAGAAGATCCAAACACCACGTAACTTCTAATCACGCTAATAACCAAGGTAGCCAATAACCAAGCTAATCATGTAATCGCGCTTTCCTAGGGCGATCACCTAAGCCGTCATAATATAGGGAAGTGTTCAACGACCCGCCCACGACGCCGAACAACAGTGTGTTGATGATCAAGCTGTCAGTGGTATGGAGTGCTGCTGATCGTGACTGGCGCATTGCAAAATTAGCTTTCTGCCATAACATGACCGAGTCAGGCCCATCATGCTCTTCAAGGTCATCCTGCGGCGGCTCAGTGATGTCGCAAATACGATCGGCGCACATCGGCGCTAATGCTCTTCGGACATTGGTGGTGCGTGACACGGATGATTAGGTCGTTCTGCTCGATATCGACTGTTCCCAGGAGACATTTGTCGGGAATCAACATCTTGGCGTCCGTTGCGTGGGCCTGTGGGGAGGAGTGACCAAGCCTCTCAGCCAATCGGAAGATTTGTTGAACTGTGACGTCAGTGCAGCGAGTACTTGGCTGTCATCAATTTCAATCGTATGGAACCTTCAAATCAACTGCCATCAGTGCGACCAGGTCAGTGCGTAGTCGTGCCGCCGCTTTGTATGGCCCGCGAGCGCGATTAGAATAGCTGTTTCTGCGTTTGGGCCGTGGTCGCTCATCTTGCGGAAGAAGAACATACGTTGGCGAGCGGTATCCGTCTCTTTGCGGCACCGATTATGAATACACTTGTGTCCTTTCGTTCCTTTTAAAATAGCCTCAAGGCCCAATTCCCTCAACGCCGCTGCCAGCGGACTCTTTGCAGTCAGTGAAGCAGTTTCATATTCCTTTCCTTTCCACTCACAATCACTTAAACCCCAAGCGTAAGCATTGTGAAAACGTAACCTGCTGAAGACGCCACGATGCACGGTTCCGTTCCTGGCCCGACCATCGTCGAGAAGCTAGGCCTGGCTCCCAAAGCGAGGAAGGTCCCCCCAGCTCGCCACTCCACACCGTTCGACGCGGGCCGACGTCCGGCCTGGTCCCCGACACCGACGGCCGGCGGCCGGTCCGCCGCGCGCTGGAAGGAGCCCAAGACCACCCGGCGTGACCAGACCGCGCCACCTGACCTGCGCTCGACCGCGTGTGGCCCACCTGCGGGGTACTGCTATCGGCTGACTTGGTATCTCATCTACGCCGCTCTGCTCGTGGTGCTGGTTGGCGAGCTGTACATGGCCGTCTCCAGGTGAGGTCTGGTGCGGACTGGGCTGCTCGCGGTGCTGGCTGGCGAGCTGTTCATGGCCGTCTCCAGGTGAGGTCTGGTGCGGACTGGGCTGCTCGTGGTGCTGGCTGGCGAGTTGTACATGGCCGTCTCCAGGTGAGGTCTGGCTCGGGCTGGAAGCTGCTGGCGGCTTAAGCGCGTGTCTCTGGATCGTGAGGTCTGGGCTAGGCTCGTGCCACGCAGGTCTGCACTCGCGTTGGTCTGCGTCAGAGCGTTTCGTTTTCATGGGCTTAGTAGTCACGTGCGATGGCAAACAGCCGAAGACAAATTTTAATTGATAAATTGATATACATATATATATATATATATATATATATATATATATATATATATATATATATATATAAAATAGAAAAAAACATCGGTCAAAATATATTAGGGCTGTGACGTAACTGGTGGCACTGCACGCAAACACAGTTATGGAAAATTTTGACGTTAACACTGACCCAATGACACAGTGTACCACGTTTGATAACTGGATGATGAAGACACGAGAAGATAGACTCAAGTTCCACCCCCGTTGGGAAAAAAGGGACGATGAAGTAGTGAAATACGCCGTTGTCTATGTTTCAATTCCTTTTGCGATAACTGGAAAATTGATTTTACGCGTGAGTTAGTAGCAATGAAGCACAACACAACAAATCGAGACACATGAAAAAATTACATTAGTTTATGTTATTTCGTTGCGGCAAACCTTTAGCATATCAGTGACAATACATATGGAGCTAGGAATTTAGTTGGTAACGAGTTTCATAAAATCATGATTTTATTCTCCCTCAGGTGCAAATGAGACACCAAGACTTTGTTATGAACAATATTTCATGACGAGCTTTGCTACATGTTATGTGCTCTGACCTGCTACTTGGGCTCATTGTCATGACAGTGTAGTTTAAAATGGCTTAAACCTTAATACCAGGCGTGCATTGTATGCAACCAAATTTCTATTAAATGCACGTTTCGCGCCATTCATTTTTCTCATCTAGTAATGATTGACGTTAGTGGTACGTTTTTTCTGCTGTTTTCGTCCCTTAACACGTGCTCGGTTGTTAGGGTGAGTTTGAATACCAAAGGTTTTCCAGAATAATTTCTAAAGGCGCAGCGAAGCCGCGCCAAATTGCGCATAGCCACAGGCTGTTAAATCTAGCGGCTCCTTTCATACAAAAATGAGATGTACCTTGTAAGTTCAATGACCTATGGCAAGTCAAAGTCGGGCTGTGGCTGTCAGCAAAGACGATCTCTAGGGAATCGTTCAATCTGATGCGACGACGAAGTGTTAGACGAGACCATGCATAAGCATTTATAAGACAATTTCTTAGGCAATTAGATAACTGAATTTAGGGTTACGATCAATTTCATTCACCTTAGGTCGGGTATGATGGTGAAACCGAGGTGAAAACTGGTCCGCATTTTTATTGGAGGACCTTTTTGGGGCAGTTTTCGCTACTTATTTCAGAAACATAGATAACCGAGACTGCAACAGGCATCTCCCACGGACTTTTTAAGGCCAGAGTGGGCCACTCACCTCAAATGGCTTAGATCAAGCTATAGCTTTAAAAACACACCGCCTCGCAAAATCCTTGGCGCTTATTGAATTTCTAAAATCAAAATAATCTTTTAAGTTTTTGCCACCGTTAAATTCTAAAGGCTAAACAAGGGCACTGACCTGTATTGACCACCAGTGGTCTTTGAAGACGTTGTGTGACTACCTTCCACCTTTTGCTGGTGTATCATTTCATCCCACGTGCTTGTTCTGCCCTCTCCCTCCCCCCTGAAATTCTGGCGATGCTGCACACCGGAAGTCGTCCGCGTGAAGGTTATACCGTTCCTGCGCAACGAACGCACCATGTCGCGGTCATCATCATGTCATCTAGGCAATCATAATGTCGCGGGTGCCTCGCAGGTGCCTGGCGGGGGCGTACAGTCAGCATTGGGAGTTCCTGGAGCTGGAGGATATCACGGTGCCGGCCATCACCGTCTGCCACCGCAACAAGTACAAGAAGAGCGTGGTCCTGCGCAGCACTGTAAACGGCACAAACTGGGCCGACTGGGTCAGGGAGGGTCACAGGTGTGTGCCAGACGGATTAATGAGGATCACAGGTGTGTGCCAACCGGGTCAATGAAAGTCACATGCTTGTCCCAGATGGGTCAATGAGGGCCACAGATGTGTGCCCGACGGGTCAATGAAGGTCGCATGCTTGTTCCAGATGGGTCAATGAGGGCCACAGATGTGTGCCAGACGGGTCAATGAGGGTCATAAGTGTGTGCCAGACGGGTCAGGGACGGTCACCGGCTGGGAATAGGCCGCTTTCGAAGGGCCACAGGTTGATGTAAGACGGGGGAGAGGGCAGCTGTAACCAGTGAGGGGGACAAGGGAAATGAAAACGGTGAAAACTGCACAGCGACAGGCGTAAAAGATTCAGTTGCTAGTAATGTTTGCTATACTATCAGAACATTTCTTAATTCAATCGCTTTCATGACGTATATAATTTGATGTCTTCTATTTTTTCCATAATGGGCTTAAGACCCTAGGGAAAGCAAAGATATTCTGAAAACGTATAATGAAATTCTGCGGTTGATGCTTAACACGAATCCATATACATTATATGGATTTGATGAAATCCATCTCATGAAAACGATCGGCATCGTGTCCGTTCAGGCTGGCTGGAATGAAGACAGACGACAGTCGGGAGACGCCCTGGTTCAGTCCGTTGCTCCACATTCCGGATTCATCTCGTCATTGTTCATCGGCTGACTTTCGCGGGTCAGTCCGATCCTCCACCGTCCTGAGCCCAGCGCACACGGCTTCAGACTGTGCTTCGAACTTCAG